TCAACTCAGGAATCCGAGCTTCTGGCGCGCGGCTACAAAATGTGCGCTCACACGACGGCACGCGCACACCGCACACACTCGCGCGCGCATGACACGAGTGCTGACCTGACCCAACAATGTCGGTTCCAGTGGCCAGAGGCTGGGACCCATATCGCGGATGGAGGCGAACGGGCCGGTTCAGTCGCTGGCGGCCATGCGCCTGCGTACGCTGCTGCGACGGTCGATCGACGCTCTCCGCTCGGCCTTTCGTGCGGTCCCGTCAGCGTCGTCGTCGTCGACGCCCACGGCTTCATCGCATTCTGAAAAGTCGAGCGCCGAAGCGGAGGGCACCGAACGGGATGCCGACTACTGGAATCGGACGCTGGCGGTGCTGAAACAGGACTACTACGCTCTGCTCAACGAATCGGAAGAGCACTTGGACCGCCTCGCCGACATTCTACCTGGTACCCGCACCCGCACCACCACCGCACATTCATGACGCAGTGTGAACGGCAAGAGGCGCTGTCTCACGTTTTATTGTTGCGCGCAGAGTTGGGGGCGTACGGCCTGAGAGCGCACCTGGAGCGGCTGAGCGAGCTCTACGCCCGGCAGTGCTTGGGCTTGCAGGCCGCACTCAGTACGTGTCACCCAGAGCCTCGTGTGTGTTGTGTGTGTGTCGGTCGGCTAGTTTGAGGCGTCGTCGCTGACGAGCAGCACTCCCCCCGGGCTCCGCTCAATCTCCCCGAACGTGGTAGAGGGCCAGCGCGGCGTTGCGGAGAGCAAGAAGCGGGGCCTGCCCCGAGCGGCGCCTCGCCGCCTGGGCGATAAGAAGTCGCCCAGGGCCAAGCTGGCGGCGAAGCTGGTACGCACATCGCACCTCTTCTCCTACATCGGTGCGCTGCATTCACTGGTGGCGACCACTCAAATTCCATTCATTCCTCCCATCGCGTCTCGCTCCAGGACCGCATCCTGCAGCTGTCCAAGCAGACCCGCGCCACGACCCGCCTGTTGCTGCAGCTCGGTACCATAGGCACATTCCTCGCATTCATCAAGATTGAGCTGATATCGACTCCATTTTCGCTGGGGGGGGGCAGAGGGCGTATGGCAGGGCGAGGCGGACGACGGTGATGAGGCATTGCCGACGATGGGCGGCAGGCCGCAGCATCAGGCGTGGGAGGACGCGGCGCGCCACTACCACGCGCTCGGCGAGGAGCTACGCCGGACGCACGACGAGTGGCTGCAGGGCCAGGCCACCCTGCTCGCCATCCTCTCGGCTGGCGGCGACCAGTCCCCAAACAACACGTCGGCCTCGTCGCGCGCCGTCGACAGCGACACGTCGACATTCGAAGCCGCTGACTCCACATCATCACCACAGCCCTCGGTCATCGCCGCGGCCCGCCTGGAGGGCCTCATCGCGGAGCAGATCTTCGAAGCCCAGACCCCGCCGGAGGCCCCCGCCGCGGTGGACGAGACGACGACGAAGGGCGGCGGCGCGGGCCTGACGAAGCGCGAGCAGCGGATCGCCGAGCGAAAGCGGCAGGAGGAGATGAAGCGGGCGGCCGCGGCGGAGAGGGCCGCCAGCGGTGCGGCCGGCAGCGTGGACGAGGAGCGGCTGCAGCTGGTCAACGAACTCAAGTCCGTGCTGGCCCTCACCGACCAGCGGCGACCACAGCTGCGACTCTCACAACCCTCTGGCCACGAAGAAGGCCAAAGTTGAAAACAGAACACACCTTTGGCGCGTTTCGCCAACCCAATTTCAAGAAGAGGGATATTGTCGTGTTCGGAAATATTTTGCATACCAACATTCAATTTTGGGTGAATCACGCTGGCGTGCGCGAATCGGGCACGCAACGAGAGCCTGCGTTTCAGTTCTGAAAAAATTCTTGTATGAAATTTGCGGTCGACACAAAATATAGCGAAATGTGGTGTAAATGCGTGCGCGGATTGGTCAGAAGGTTGCCTGGCAGGTCGAATTGGCCATTTCTGATTTTCGATTGGCCATTTCTTTTGCTTCTGCGTCGCGTGGTTCAGTGAAAAAAAGGGAACAAAATTTTGCCGGCGCTGGGCGATAAGTAGGGACGGTCGCCGGCCGAGTCTTCTTTGTTCTCGTTGCCTGCCTCTCGCGTCCTCCACCCAGTTCGCAAGTCGGCCCGCTCAATCACTCTCTCTCTTCATCTCAACCCACCAAGGCCTATTTTTCCGAACAACACTACACACAAGATGTCGAGGGACCCCAACGTTATTCGTATCAAGCCCTACCACTACATTCACGTTCTGGACAACAACACGAACGTGACTCGCGTGGAGGTGGGTCCTAACACATACACCAGGCAGGTTCGTAAAAACATATACCACGACACCCCTCTCGCTTGTGTTGTTAGACGTCATTACCATTCGAGTAATTCTCTGGTTGAAATTTGTTGTAGCGTCTTCGATTGCTCTCTTTTAAGCGACAGTGCAGCCGGTCTCGATTTGACCTTGACTTACCTCGTTCTACTACTTGTTGATATCGACAACAGGAACATGAGAAGATCGTGTTCGGCCCTGAGTCGATGATCATGATCCCCCCTCGCCACTACTGCATCATTTCGAACCCGGCGACCAAGGATGCCAAGAACCAGCCCGTCTTCGATGGCCACCACAACGTCAAGGTGCGCTTCGGAGACGAGGAGATTCGCTTCGAGCAGGAGCCCTTCCCGCTCTACCCGGGCGAGCTCCTGCGCGGCAAGGTGAGCGCGCTCCAGGTGGTGGGTCCCGATGCCGCGCTTCGCCTGCGCGCGATCCGCGATTTCGAGGACAAGGTCGCCGGCGACGAGTGGCTCTTCCGTGGCCCGGCCACCTACAAGCCGCGCGTCGAGGTGCAGGTCGTCGAGATCATCCGCTCGACCATCGTCAAGCCCAACACGGCGCTCAAGCTGCGCGCGCGCAAGGCCGCCGTCGACTCGGCCGGCACCAAGCGTGAGGCCGGCGAGGAGTGGCTCGTGCGCACCGTGGGCGCCTACCTGCCCGGCGTCGACGAGGAGATCGTCCAGACCGTGCCCGCCAAAGTGCTGACCGACAAGAAGGCGCTGCACCTGCGCGCCACCAAGACCTTCACCGACGTGTACGGCACCAAGCGCAAGGCCGGCGAGGAGTGGCTCGTGACGCTCGACGACGCCGAGACCCACCTGCCCGACGTGTACGAGGAGGTCGTGGGCGAGGTGCGCATCACCACGCTGTCCAACCGTCAGTACACGGTCGTGCTCGACCCGCTCGACAAGAACGGCCACCCGCAGCTGGGCCTCAAGCACCTGCGCGTCGGCCCGGCCTCCTTCTTCCTCCGCCCCGGAGAGAGGCTCGAGGCCGGCATCCAGAACATCTACGTTCTCGCCGCCGAGGAGGCGCTGCTCCTGCGCTCGCGCGAGGCCTACCAGGACGGTGCCCTGGCGCGCAAGCCCGGCGACCGCTGGATGATCGTCGGCCCGTGCGACTACGTGCCGCCGATCGAGGTGGACGTGCTCGAGACCCGCCGCTCGATCCCGCTCGACGAGAACGAGGGCATCTACGTGCGCGACCTCAACACCGGTAAGGTGCGCGCCGTCATCGGCGAGTCCTACATGCTCAAGGCCGACGAGGAGCTCTGGGAGAAGCAGCTGCCCCAGGTCGTCGAGGACCTGCTCTCGCGCGAGCGCACCTCGGGCGAGGTCCGCTCGGCCACCTGGTCCAACGCCCGCGGTGGCGTCCAGCCCGCCGTGTCCGCCCGCGACAAGACCCGTCTCGTCACCTACCGCGCGCCCCACGGTGCCGCCGTGCAGATTTATGACTACAAGGAGAAGAAGGCCCGCATCGTGTTCGGCCCCGAGCTCGTCACGCTCGGCCCCGAGGAGCAGTTCACCGTGGCCGACCTGTCGGGCGACGTGCCCAAGCGCCCCAACGTGATCAAGTCGCTCGCGCTCCAGCTCGGCCCCGACTACATGACCGATATCGTCACCGTCGAGACCGCCGACCACGCGCGTCTCTCGCTCAAGCTCTCCTACAACTGGCACTTTGAGGTCGACAAGGCCAACCCGCAGTCGGCCGCCTCGATCTTCCGCGTGCCCGACTTTGTCGGCGACGGCTGCAAGGCCATCGCCTCGCGCGTGCGTGGCGCCGTCGCGCAGGCCTCGTTCGACGACTTCCACAAGATGTCGTCGGACGTCATCCGCGCCGCCGTGTTCGGTATCGACCCCGAGACCGAGCAGGTCAGGAACAGGTTCTTCTTCTCGGCCAACCACCTGGTGATCACCAACATCGATATCCAGTCGGTCGAGCCCGTCGACCAGCGCACCCGCGACTCGCTCCAGAAGTCGGTCCAGCTCGCCATCGAGATCACCACCAAGTCGCAGGAGGCCTCGGCCAAGCACGAGGCCGCGCGCCTCGAGCAGGAGGCCAAGGGTCGCCTCGAGCGCCAGAAGATTAACGACGAGGCCGAGGCTGAGAAGGCCCGCAAGAGCCTGCTCCAGCTCCAGGCCCAGAGCGCCGCCGTCGAGTCCACCGGTCAGGCCACCGCCGAGGCCAAGGCCCGCGCCGAGGCCGCCCAGATCGAGGGCGAGGCCGCCGTCACCATGTCCAAGCTCAAGGCCCAGTCCACCAAGATCAAGTCCGCCGACTCGAGCAGCTCAAGAAGAAGCAGTTCCAGGAGATCGACCACCGCAAGGCCATGGCCGAGCTCGAGGTCAACAAGGCCAGAGAGCTGGCTGCCATCGAGTCCAAGAAGTTCTCGGAGATCGTCGACGCCATCGGTGCCGAGACCATCAAGAAGATCGCCCAGGCCGGCCCCGAGATGCAGGCCAAGCTGCTCCAGGGCCTGGGCCTCAAGAGCCTCATGATCACCGACGGCTCGTCGCCCATCAACCTCTTCAACACCGCCTCTGGCCTCATCGCCCAGCACCAGTAAGCCCCTCCTGGTTCTGGCACTGGCCACCCACAGGGGAGGTCTGCGGGGACTCCCCTGTGCCTGACTGTAAAACTCAACTCTTGCTCCCCCACCATAAAACATCATCAAAACCCAAACACGCGTCCCCTCTTCTTGTTCACTTTTGCCACCTCTCTCTCACCACCACAGCTTTTACCAACAGGAAACTTTGATGTTCGTGTGACAACCCCTTTGCTAAGACACGCAGTGGTGAACGACACACGCGCTCAGCAGATTGCCTCTGGTCGAGCGGAAGAGGAGTACGCAGTACCGGCGTTTCGATCCTTGCTTGGGTCATCCGCTCCCGTTCACGACTCAAAGTTGAAGTTGTTGATTGTCAATTCAACAAGGCTGCATAGGTGGTGATAACACATCACTTCACTTCATCACTTCCTGACGGTGGTCTCCAGGGTGTGCTCGAGGCCGAGGTCGCCGCAGGCCAGGCGCACGCGTTCGACGGTGAGCGGCAGGTCGAGCACGAGGTCGTCGCTCGACAGGCCGGCCTGGGCGCGGGCCGCGACGATGGCGTCCTTGATGGCCAGCGCCACCGTCGCGCTCATCGACTTGGGCGGCTCGCCGATGCCCTTGGACGAGAGCAGGCCGCGCGCGTTGGGCCCCTTGAGCAGGTTCACGTGGAACTCGATCGGAATGCTCTCCGGCGTCGGAATCTCATAATTGTGGTCGACACGGCCCTGTGATCATCCACCACTCGTCAGTCACGCTGTCGTGTGTCGTGTCGTGTCGTGTCGTGTGGTGAAGGCACCTGAGCGTCCCACTTGAGTTCTTCGGAGGTGAGCCAGCCGACGCCCTGCACGAAGGCGCCCTCAACCTGGCCCACGTCCACGGCGGGGTTGATGCTCGTGCCCACGTCCTGCACCAGCTCCACCTGCGCGACCCCAAGTTAGTCACCACGACACACACCGACACGCGCAGCACACGACACACACGGCACATGAGACGACACACACGCGATGCACAGCATGACACTCGCGCAGCACGCACCCGGAGGATGCGGTGGGAGCCCGTGAGTACGTCCACCTCGACCTCAGCAAACGCCGTGCCTGGATCGACGCATGCTCGTTAAGGTGGCGATGGAAGTGGCGCCACATGTGGTTAAGGTGGCTGTAGGGGGGCGGGTACCCCAGGTGTAGTAGAGGAACTTGCGGTCCTCGAAGTCGACGGCGTGCCAGCCGTAGGAGGAGAGGCACACGCGCGAGAAGAGGGCCGCCTGGACCACCTCCTTCCACGCCTTCCCCGCCATCGCCTCCTTCAACGGCGCCAACCGCGCGTTCAACTCCTCGCATGCCTGCGTGTGTGTCATGTGTCGTGTGGTGCGGGTGTGTGCGTGTGTCGTGTGGCGTGTGGCGTGTGTGTCGTGTCGTAAGCGCCAGAGGCATTGGGGGGGGGGATAGAGGGCTTTCGTACCTTGCGGACGGCGCTGCCGTTGAGTTCGAAGGTGAAGGAGCCGCCGGTCGCGCCGCCGTGCTGCAGGACCTCGTTGGACGTGGGCGGCACGTGCACCGTCTCCAGCGGCACGCCCAGCGTCTCCGCCGCCAACTGGCCGAACGCGCATGGGTGTAAGCCGTGTATCGTGTCGTGTCGTGTCGTGTTGTGTCGTGTCGTGGACGCACCTGGGCGATCTTGATGTTGAGTCCCTGGCCCATCTCCACGCCGCCGTGGTTGACGATGACGGTGCCGTCAGAGAGGATGTGCACCAGCGCGCAGGCCTTGGCCCACACCGCCATCGCCCCGCCGATACCCACGCCCTGCTTGATCGGCATCGCCGCCACCTGCACCGCAACACACCAACGACACACATCATCATCATCAGCACACGCGTGTCATGTGTCGTGTGTGTCGTGTGTGTCATGTGTGTGTGTGCCGTGTACCCCTCGCTTGGCGTAGGTGCTGTGCTGGTTGAAGGCATGCGCCTCCTTGAAGCGGCGGTCGAAGTCGGACTGCTGGCGACACGCGTGCCACACGGCGCCCAGGCTGCATTCGTCCAGGTGCTGGCCGGCCACCGTCACCTCGCCCTGAACCCCAATTCAATTGGCACCCCGCGTGTGTGAGCGGCTCGGCCTCTTCACCGCACACGCACCACCGCACACACACACACACATACACACAACACAGGGCGGGGTGTTCCGTGGTGAATGGGCACCTGCTGGTAGAAGTTGAGTTCGCGCACGATGTGGGGGGCCAGCCCGAGCTTGCGGGCCACGTGGTCCAGACTGAACTCGCCTGTAACAAGAGGCCAATAAAACAACATATTAATTATTTATCCGCTTTTTATATATTATTATCCCGTTTATATATAATAAAAGAGAGGTATGTACCAGCGACGATGCCCTGCGGGATGCCGGCGCCGCGGTAGGGCTTCGTGGGCGCAATGTTCGACCTGATCACTGCGCGTGCCCTTGCGTGAGCGAGTACCACCACCTGGACGGGAGAAGAGCCGAACCTTTGCCGACGGCGCGGAAGTGGGGCACGTTGTAGCAGTTGTCCAGGTGGTTGATGGTCTCGGCCAGGATCGAGTACGACAGATCGATCGCCGCACCTCCGTTCGCGTACACCTGCGTTCCCGCCCGCCCGCCCAACCAAACACGCTCAGAAAAGAGTTACGAAAAAGAAAACGAAATCGAAAGAGGGCGAGCGAGACCTGGAAGTCGGCGGCGATGATCTTGCCGGCGGAGGTGGCCCCCACCTTGTACTTGAAGTTGTAGGGCGCACGCGTACCAGCCGCCTGCGAGTCAGTGCCGCGGTCCAGCGTGTGCTTCACCGGCCTGTGCACACGCACACGCACACGCACACGCAAGTGTGAGGTGAGCGAAGCAAAACCGTGTGGCGTGTCGTGTGGTGTGTGCGGAGGGGAGCTGAGGGCACCTGTTGAGGAGCTTGGCGGCGAGAGCGGCGGCGGAGTACATGAAGAATCGGGTGCCCTTGCCACCGAAACCGCCGCCCACGCGCTTCACCCGCACGTCGACATCCTTCTGGTGCATGTTCAACGCGAACGCCACCTGCAATGCAACGCAACACGCAACACGCACACGACGCGCACGTACCAACGGTCAACGGCCCGAGACGCACGAACAAGGTCTGAACAGAGAGAGAGAGAGAGAGAGAGAGAGACGCGCACCTCCTCCTGCACGAGGGCCACGCTCTGAGCCGTACAGTGGATCAAAAGGCCGCCGTCGTCCTTGGGTTCCACCAGACACGAGTGCGGCTCCATGTACCTGCGCGCGTGTGTGCGGTGGCGTGTGTTGCGTGAGCGATGATGGAAGTCTCGCGCCACTGTGCGCCGCGTTGGAGTGGGGGGCGTGCGTACCAGTGAAGGGCACCGCCGAGGTTGAACTCGCCCTCGACGACGGTGTCGGCCTGCTTGAACGCCTCCTCCACGTTGCCCCGCTCGACGTGGTCGTGGAACATGGGCGATGTCTCGAAGAAGCTGCCCGCCTTGATCCCTAATCTCGCACCAATCGCCCACGACACGACACGCCACGCGCAGATCAGTCGCGGATTTCAATTGTGGCGGTGGTGTTGGTCGGGCGCAGAGGGCACCGTCTTCGATGGTGATGATGGCCGGCAGGTCCTCGTATTCGACCTTGACGAGGCGGGCGGCGCGGGAGGCGCGCTCCTGGGTGTCGGCCACCACGATGCCCAGCGGCTGCCCGTAGTACTGCACCTCGTCCGCCGCGAACAGCACTCCGTCCTGTTTCACGCACACAGCGTTGTGTCGGGTCAGCACCACACACGCACACACGCACGCACACACACACGCATGCACACACACACACGCACACGCACACGCACCGCACATCGCTCACATGCGAGGAAGTGGGGGGGGGCGTACCTTGAAGAGTTCGCCGACGTTGACGGGCACGTTCTTGGCTGAGTAGAAGGCGCGCACGCCGGGGAGGGCGAGTGCGGGCGACGCGTCGATGCTCACCACCCGCGCGTGCGCCTTCGTGGCCAGCACCATCGTCGCGTAGAGCATCCTCCGAGCTTGCACATCGTCCGCGAATAGCTGCATCGGTTCGTTCATCGCACCACACACGCACACGCACACGCACGCACGCACGCACGCACACACACACACACACACACACACACGACACACACACGATGTGAGCGATGGCAAGGGGTTTGGGGGAGGGAGGAGCTGAGCAGGAGTACGGCTTCGCCGGAGGACTGGATGTGGGAGGTGGTGTGCTTGGTCGGGTGGGCCACCACCTTGAAGGACTCGGGTTCGGCGAAGCGCTGCTGGCCCCGTGTGACGCGCGATTGGTAGGGCGCGAACACGTCCTCCTCGCTGCTCACGTGCGCCACCACCCTGAACAATCGAATAGTTCGAATTATTTAGCACACACCGCACACACACCGCATTGGGAGCATACGCACACGCACCTGCTGTAGAATTTGAAGAAGATGCCGCTGATGACGGCGCGCTTGTACTCGGCGCCCTCGCCCTCAACGGGGATAGTCCTCGGCCAGCAGACCGAAGACGGTCTGCAGGTCCGAATGGAGGCCCCGCAGGCTCTTCCCGGCCAAGTACGCCTCGGTCTTGGCGGCCCTGCGAGCGATCAAATACCGCAGCGTGTACGCGGTGAGTGTCGTGTCGTGTCGCGTGTCGCGTGTGCGATCGCGAAGCGGGTGTTGCGTGGTGGTAGGGACTGTACGATTGGCCGGGCTTGGGGCTTACGCCTCCCAGGCAGATGGTGGCCGACTTGATGACCCAATCGCCGTCGCGCTCCTCCAGCTGCAAGCGACATCCGCCCGTGACCTGGCCACACACGCAAACGCGCATAGTTAGAATTCCGATGACGCGAAGCGAGTTCGCAGGGCCTAGGCCGTACCAGGGAGGCGCTGCTCGTCTGGCGGCCGGACTGCTTGTAGGACTCGACGTGATCTCCCGGCTGCGAGTGAGGAATGTCTGCAATTCCAAGAATATGATTGCACGTGCCACGTCAGCAAGGCGAGAGCGAATGGATGGGGGAGGGGGGGGGAAGGGCATCGTACGAATGGAGAGAATCAGCTCGTCGGGCTGGAGGTCGACCTTGCCGCCGCCCTTCACGAACGCCGACACGGGCACGCTCCGGCGGTCGCCGCTGCCCGCCACGATCGTCACCGTGGCGCCCAGCACCACGAGCACCGGAATGAGATCACTCGCCTCCTGGCCTGTAGTGTGGTACATTAACCATCGGTGAAGGCCAGTAGGAATGTGAGGAATGAATGGGAGGGTGGAATGCTTGGCTGGCGTACCGCCCCAGATGTGGCCGGCCACGAGGGAGCCGCCCACGGTGGCGCTGTTGCGGACCTGCGTGCCGCCGATCCACTTGATCTGCTCGGCGAGCGCTGCGAAACCCGACGTCTTGCTTTCGTCCTGAGTAGCGACGGCCGCGACGAGGCTGTCCTTGAGGGTGGTCAGGGTGACCGCGGCGCCCACGTCCAGCCCGGCGTCAGTGAACGCCACGGCCTTGAGCTCTGGGATCTACCCACCACCCGCCGACGAGATGAGAATGCTGACGTGGCACATTCCACTTGGGGCTGTAGGGGGGGGGGCAAGTGTGGAATGTGGAAAGTACCAGGCCCACGGAGATGACGACGGTGGGCTGGAGCTTCTTGTTGACCAATCGCGTGTTGCCAGCGAGGATCTGGGCTTCGGGATGCTTGGCCTTCAACGCGAGCGCCGCCTTAAGCGTGGTCGGCTTGTACCTAAAGGGCGCACAACACACATACAAGAGATCGGTAGGCCTCCTACGTGTAGTGGGGAGGGAATTGAACGGTGAGGCGTACGCACCAGTCGATCGTGTCGCCGACGTAGTGGGCGGAGCGGGGAGGGTGGGTCATCAGGAAGGGCGGGAAGATGGGCTCTGACGTCAGGTTCAGCGGATGGTAGGTGGCCCCATCGAGCCCTGCCCAACACACAACACATCACACGCGCAGTTGGATGCAGGGCTCATCACCATAGAAAAAAGTGGTCGATTTGATCAAAGCAGTTCTTACCGAGGCTGTGCGTCACGACGTAACCGTTTTCGTCCTTGGTCACCTCCTGCTTGGCGCACTCGGTGTTCTTGGCGAAGGTGCGCATGGCGTCGAGGATCGGCCGATAGCCCTGCATTCCCACAGCACACGACGCACGCACGCACGCACACGCACACACACACGCACACACCACACGCAACACGTCAGCAACACAGCGTGGTGGATCGGCAGGCAGGTGGGGAGCGGGTACGGTGCAGCGGCAGAGGTTGCCGTCGATGTTGGCCTTGACGTCCTCTTCGGTGAGACCGTCCGGATGGCTGCGGAGGAGCGCGTAGAAGGCCATCACCATGCCCGGCGTGCAGAAGCCGCACTGGCTCGCATGCGCCAGCGTGAAGCGCTCCTGGATCGGATGCGCCGCGCCGGGCGCCCGCGTGTTGCCCAGTCCTGTGCACAGTCGTTCTCTCGTTGAGCTCATCATTCTGCGGTGATCTCAGAGCACACAACCAAACGCGTACGACGGCGTACCCTCGATGGTGGTGACCGCCGCGTGGTCGATCGAGCACAGCGGCGCCAGGCACGCGTTAATCGACCTGTGGGTCACCTGTGTAGCGATGTTATATTCATTATAAAATATTACATTAAAATACGCTGGTGTATTGCTGCCCCGCAAAACAAATGAAATAAAACCAAAAAAATACAAAATAAACGGGGACCAGGGGTGGGGAGGCGGGGAACCTGCTTGGTGTGGGGGTCGTGGGTGGAGAGCATGACGGTGCAGGCACCGCAGAGGCCACGGCCGCAGCCGACCTTGGTGCCGGTGAAGCCCTCGCCTCGCAGGTAGTCCGCCAGGCTTTGGGCCGGGTCGGGCCGCTCCACCTCCACCTTCTCGCCATTCAAGAAGAACACCAGCACGTCGCCACTCTTCTCCATCTTGTGTGGTGCGTTGGTGTGCGTGCGCAGAGGCCTTGTGTGGTAGAGGTTTAGTTGGGGAGCCACAACCGCGGCGTTTTATGTCAACAGTTCTGAATTCTGGGCGAAAAGAACCGGACACGGAACCGGTAAGAGTTGTGTAGAGGGTCGAGATGATGATGAAGAAGAAGAAAATGATGAAAAGGGAACTACAACAGAAGGGGGTTGAGGGTTATGTCGAGGAGGTGAGGGTCGACGTGGTGCGGGAGAGGCGGGCGAGGATGTTGTTGCGCTCGGCGGGGATGGCGCCCTCCATGTAGCGCTCCACAATGTCGTGCAGCTGGATGCGTCTTGTGTTGCTGAACTTGAACACAAAGTCCTTCGCGTGGAACGCCGCACGCTCTCCATTCACCACTACGCACGACGACACGACACGCAACACAACACGCACACGACACACGACACGACCTCATCGTAAGTAAGGTGGCCGATGATGACGAAGATGATGGTGGTGGGAACAGAACGCACTCTTGGTGAGGAGGAACTCTCGGAACTTGCGACCTCGCCTGAAGAGGGCGGGTTCGGGCAACGACGGCCCGAATGGCTTCACCCCCTGCTTACACACCACCGCCACCCTGTAGCACGTCTTCTTGCCCTCCTTCTTCTCCGGCGTGATAACGATGTACACATCTGTCGAAGTGTGCGGGTGCGTGTGTGAGTGTGAGTTGTGTCTTGCGCCGTGTGTTGTGTGTGTCGTGTGGGTGTCGTGTCCCCAACACGGAAGGGCGGAAGAGCGTACGATTGAACTGGGAGCGGATGGTGAGGGGTGAAAACTGGTCGTTGGGTCCCTCGCGGAAGATGACGATGACCACGTCGTTGCCCAGGTGTCGCTTGCGCTCGACCTGCTGCGGATCCTCGGGAAAGAAGGGCAGCAGGGTGCTGACGTGAAACATGATCTCCTGCCCCCTATACTCGGTATATACAGAGTGGGCGCCCGTCGTGTCGGCTGTGTAAACCCCACCCCACACGCGCACAAAAGATCAGCCATGCCCTGCCCTGCCCTGTATCGTTTGGCTCGCGCGCTCGTGTGCGTGTGGCGGTGCGTACTCTTGGCGTCAAGCCCTCCTCGGAAGCGTGAGAAGCCCAGCATGCGCACGCGTTCGCCCAGCATGTTCAAGAACTCTTCGAAGAGCGGACTGCCGTGTTCTGATCACACAAGTGTTTTCGCCCACCCAAGCGACGAGATCAGCTCCCCGGCACCGATACACGACGCTACACGACACGCGAAGCAGCCGTAGTGTGTGTGTGCGCGTTGTGTGTGTCGTGTGTCGTGTGTCGTGTGTCGTGTGTCGTGTGTGTGTGTGATAAGCTGAAGTAAGGTTACCGTTATTGTACATCTGGTCCTCGATCGACTGGTTGGCGCGGCAGTAGAGAATTCCGAACTTGTATCTCGTGGCGATCAGCTTGTCCTCGTAGTCCAGCATGTCCTGCAGCCAGCCAGCCAACCGGTCGGCAAACGTTAGACGGGCGGCAATCGAATGAGAGGAATGGGGAAGGGTGTGGTCGAACCTTGCCGAAGCGGGGGTCCTTGACTCGGAGGAAGCGAATGGAGGATAGGCCGGGCTGAAGCGCTTTCAGCGCCTTGATTCGGTTCCCTCCGTCGTTGGGGATAAAGGTTCGGTCGGTGCCCTTCTTGGTGTGTATGAGCACCTTGACGCGCGGCTGTTCTCTGTTGCCGCCCTCGCAGCATATCACCACCGGACCCACCAGGTTCTCGTCCTCCACGTGGCTGATGAACGATTCCACTTCTACGCCACAAGAATTGTTCGCAATTCAATCGATGCACGACACACACGACACACACACCACACGCACACGACTCGACTCGACACGACACGACACGACACGACACACACCACGGGTCGTACCACCAGTGCCGTGGAGGTAGTCCTTGTAGTAGTGGCGGTACTTGTCGGCCTCGATGAGCGGGAAGGCGTTGGCCACCTTGGGGTCGATTCGGGCGTAGGCGTCGGTGAAGGCCGGCCGGCCGAGCTCCCGCATGAATCCGCCGACCTTCTCGATGAGGCTCTTCTTCTCCGCCTCCGGCGTGTATTCCTGGCCCAGGACATAGCTGCCAGGTCAGCTCGCCCGAGCAGCAGCGTCGAGTTGGGTGTTAAGGTGGCGGCGTACGTCGGACCACTGGAGAATGTTGGGGGTCTGGGTGACCCACTCTCGCTCGGCGGCGGTGAAGGCGTCCTTGCCCACGGAGAAGGTCTTGGCCTGGGACATATCCGTCGGTCGCGGGATCAGCGTGGGCGGCGACACCTGCGGTAGCACCAGCGGCGCCTGCTCGCACTCCTCGTCCTCCTACGCTCCCGCGCAGCATACCCCGAGTCAGTGTTCAATTGAATCAACATCACACCCAAGACACTGCCTGTTCATGCTATCGAGGCATAAAGGCATATAGACGTAAAGGTCCAAATAAAATGGATTAGAGCCATAGATGTCGTGTAAAGCGTGCCTCTTCGGAGGAGCCCCAGATGCCCTTGCGCAGGCTCGTGCGCAGGCTGGCCCGCGACAGAGACCCGAAGCCGGACTTCTTGCTGGAGCGGGCCTTGGGTCTCTGTACGGCATTCCCATCGCACAACGGTAGTTGATCAACAACAACCACACACACACGAGGCCACATGCAACACACAGAACACGACGACACCAGACACAAGGCAGTGGCAGTGGCAGAACCTCGGGCGTGCTCGAGTCTTCGCCGGACTTGGTGCTGTGCATAGGGATGGCCATAGAGGGGCTGCCGATGGCTGGCTCTTCGTTGGACGGCAGGCGCCGGCGGCTGAGCGGTTCGAGCGACGACGACGATGACTCCACCAGCCGCGACGACGATATCGACCTGTGCTTCAGCGCCGGCCCCCTACTGCTGCGCTTGCCCTCCGTCCTCTCCGACTTCTCGGCCTGCTTGAACACGACCCCCCCCCGAGTTAGTCCTCTGAGTCATTAATGGGGGGGGGGCATGGCGAGTAGAGAACAGTGGTACGTACCTCGGCGGGCGGGGGGGATGTGGCGGTCTGCTTGGGGTGGGCCTTGATCAAGTCATCGGCCGACTTTTGTGAGTTGTGCCGGTAGATCACGCGGGGCGATCTCGGGCTGGCGCTCACTGTGCGGGGCGAGCACGGGCTCAGGGCCACGCGGGGCGATGACCCGGGCGAGGTGGAGAGGTTTGGGACCGGGGCCAGGTCGCCCGAGGCAGATGTGGTCGTGCCCCCCTGGGGGTGGTTCAGCAGGAAGTCCCGGGGTCCGTTACGATAGGCGTCGCGGCCCTTGAGCGTGGGCTTGGGGGCCGAGGGCACCGTAGGGGGCTGGGCCGCCCCCGGCCGCGTAGCGGCTCGCTGCTGTTGCGATGAGCCTGAGGGCGATGAGGGGGAGAAGCCGAGGGGCGATTTGGGCCTCTTGCTGCCGCTTGGGCTGGGGCTGGTGGAGGTGGAGGTGGAGGTGGTTCTGGGTGAAGATGGTGGGAGGAGGAGGACGTTCTCAGTTCCTCCACGAGATCCCCCTCCCCGCTGCTGCTCCCGCCATCGTGGAAGACAGACGAGTCCATCGGCCTCTCCTTTCTCTCTCTCTTCAAGATCCTTCGCGAACTGAGCTGAGCCTGCTGCTTCTCGCTCGACGACCTTCTCCTTTCCCTCCGAGAGACGGTAGTTGCAAGAGGCGGCCCAGAATAGGAAGGAGAAGCCAGGTTTGGGGTCGTTACCGATGAACTGCGCAGTCGACAACAAAAGGGGAGAAGAACGCGCAATCGCGACGCAGGCCTGTTTCTGCGGCCAAAAGCGAACAGCGGAGGGAAGGAACACAACACACGACACAAGACACGACACTACGCGAGAGTGAGAGAAAGGAGAAGGCGGCGGCGAGAAGAATAGGAAAAGAGGCTGGCGTGTATGATGATGGTGGTTTGGGGGGG